AGTGGACAACGTGGTCCATATACATAATAAAATTTCGCGAGCTCTATGTATCATGTCCATAATAATGTAGAAAAAATTTGTAATATTCCTGGCCGAAACGTATATAGCTCATAGTTCGAGAAGAATGAATGCCGGTGCAGCGGCGTGGGGTTCATAATTATTCTAAAAGGGATGATGTTTTTTAAAACCGAAAGATGCCACCTTCCCAAGTCTAAAATTTAAAGATGTAAATTTTTAAAAAATGTGCGAGAAAAAGAGCAATTTTGCACCTGTTTTCAATAAAATATATTACAATCTGCAAGGGCATCGGAAGTCAAGGACAAAAAATATATGCCAAGTAAGTGGTCATTTTTACGAACTAAAATTTATAAAGCAGTCGAAGAGAAAATCATTTGAAAGGCAGTATTCTCGCATGAATGGAATGTTTGGAAATTTTGTGACATGCCAACTACAAGTACGATGCTATTTAAGCAATATTTTGGAATCAAAGGCTATTACGTAATTTCAATCGACCTTTCATGAAATTGACTATTTGATGTATTACGATAGCAGTGGACATATAGGTATTTCAGAACGCGGGTGGAACACTGAACGTTAGCACAAACATACAGTGCGTGACCGATCTCATGAAACGTTGGCCAAAATTCCGAAATGCGTTTTAGATTAGGAAGTTTTATTTAGGTGGTGATTTAATATTGATTTTCATGCGACATAATCATATTGTATTTCGGACTCGCTAGGTTTCGCTTTTTAGCGCACTTCCTTTCGACCTCTTACAGAGACATCATCCGGTAAAAATTGACTGCTTAATTAAAATGATTTTTTTACATTCATTTTCGATGGTCTTATAGATTAAAATATATTTTATAGAAGACGTGCCCAAAATAAACATAGTTTTACTCATTTGGTAGAAAATCATGATGTCTTCATGGGTGCTGATAAAAGTCATTCACAATGGGAGCCCTCCTACTACAAGGCTGTGGAAGCGCACCTCGTGTATATCCATTTCTTGTGATTTAAGTCCCTTTGTAAAGATATTGGGGGTCGAAAGATGTTTCAGTGTGTTGCAGGCAAACATTTAGTCATGTGTGGGTCCGATATAATTTTAGCATCAAAAGCATTTCAGAGCCTTAGCTCTGCAGTGGATACTGGGTGAATAAATACATTCGGTCTTACTGTGTGCTGTTGTATCATTTATTCATACAATAATAGCATGTATATTCCAAAGAGGCGCTGAAGGTCCAGGTTTCGGTCTCCAAGTGGACTTCCATTAAAATGCTAACAAAATGCTTGAGTAATCGTCATTATTAATTAGTACTCGTCTAAACGTCCATTATAATGCCTCTGGACAAGGTATGCATGACATTACAACATTATGTCTCTGTAGTTTTGTGATTGACATTCGCTCCTAAAAATGAATAAAACGCCCCAAGGGAATCCAAATCGAAATTGGTATGCCAGACAAGCCCTTAGCGAGATATGCTAGATTGCGTATTGGACACGTATGCGCATTAAGTATGACTGTAATTAGGTCTGAACATGGCAACAAGATAAGCTCAGAAATATATCCTGGCGACTTTAAGGCCTATAAAACATTCACCGTGTATGCGATAAAGGCGTCGATCAATAGAAACTAAAGTCCATGGAAAGCATTTGAAAAGGCGTATTGAAAAACATATTTTAAGAGGGCAGACATATTCGACAAAAAATAAAATAAGTACTACTGTTTCAAATTTAATTACAGATACGCATTAGGTGAGGTTAGAAATTGTTGATAACCAATAGCCGAAGACCAGCACCTATGTGCTGCAGATAACCGGTAAGTATTGTAGGAATGGAAGTCCGAGTAGTTTTCCAACGTCTCCGAGGGTTTTCCTTTGCCATTCAGTACTTGCCTCACTGTTATGGCCAATATGGTATATGAAACTCATATTTAGGTCTGAAAACCGTAGGTCAGTAAAATCAAGTCGATCGGGAAGAAAATCTGTTTGAGAGACGTATTTAATTGTTCCTACGGCAGTCAGGTTTTCCACAGTAACCTCCAATGTATCCAGAATTCTTGTCGACATGCCGTGCCTCAAGAGATGCCGAAGTTTCTATATTGTAAAGATTTTAGACGGTAATTTTCCCGACAAACCCATCTGAACTTTCAAAACTAGCAAAGAACATTTCGGTCCTACCAAGTGACTGATCCCCAGATTAATTCTCCTGAACTCAATTTGACAGTGCAAATTTAAAACGTCTTTCTCTCTGAAGATTTCAGGGAATGAACAAATTCCTGTTGTAATGTTGCCTTCCACAGACAGATTAAGTTTCATTATCGTTCCATCACGAAGCGGGAAATAATGCATCATATTGGGCCGCTGAAGCAGCTCTTTCTCCAAAAACAGCGGCAGTGAAACGATAGAGTTAATCGTCGGACATTTTTCTGTTGGCACCACATTTGCTGTAGAGGTTTGCAATTCAAAGAAATTAGCAGGTCAATGCTGTAAGCATTGTCTGTTCGTCATAATAAAAACAGTTATTTCTGCAAAGAGCACGCAATACAACTTTACAATCTGTATGCCAATTCTGTGGCCTTTACATACTTGATTGCACCTGTGCTTGTCAGTTTATATATTCGCATTATGTTAGAAACTCATTATCAAATACGTAAATAAAACAAGTAAGATATTTCAATATACAGTTGGCCTATGTGAATACAATTAAAATCTTTGCAACTTATAGACTACGTACTTTCAGCCTCACCTCCATTTGCTGTAAGATTATGGAGAAGATAATAAAGCAACAACTAATGCAGTTCCTTGAACAAAACCATTTGCTTTCTGATTCTCAGCATGGATTCCGAAAAGGCAGATCCTGTGTGACAAACCTGCTCTACTGTCTGGAACACTGGACTAGGGCTGTTAATAGAGGAGATATGGTGCATGCCATCTATATCGACTTCAAAAAGGCCTTCGATAGTGTGCCTCACCACCGCCTTCTATACAAACTTAGCCGTGCAGGGGTGCGGGGTAAGCTTCTGATGTGGATTCGGAGCTTTTTAATCGGCCGCTCTCAAGCCGTCCACGTCGGTGACCAACAATCTGCCGAGGTTGCCGTTAAGAGTGGTGTTCCCCAAGGCTCTGTTCTTGGCCCTACGCTGTTCCTAGTATACGTCAATGACTGCGCAAACGAACTGAATTGCGATGTCGCAATGTTTGCCGATGACATAAAGATCTGGAGTACCATACGAAGCGAAGTTGACGAGGCGCGACTGCAGACAAATCTGGACCACCTCGAGCAATGGTCGAAAGACTGGCTTCTACCGTTCAACGTAAACAAGTGTACTTTCCTACGCGTCGGCAGAACCAGTTCCCCTAACCACACGGTCTACCGTCTGACTGGCAAACCACTGCAAGAAGTCGACGCCCAGAAGGACTTGGGTGTATGGATCACAACCTCGCTTAAGCCTTCGCTGCAATGTTCAAAGGTGGCCAAGTCGGCGATGTCCATGCTATACCTTGTCAAACGGGCGTTCTCCTCCTTTGATGAAGACTGCTTCGCCAAGGTCTTTCAAACTTTTGTGCGACCGCATCTGGAGTTTGCTATCCAAGCATGGCGACCCTGGACCGCTAAAGACTTGGGCATACTCGAAAAAGTTCAACGGCGAGCAACGAAACTTGTATCTGGGCAGTGTTCACTACCCTACGAAACACGATTAGCTAATCTTGACCTCTTTCCTTTGAATTACAGACAGCTACGTGGGGACCTCATACAAGCTTTCCGCATCGTGCGCAATCAGGGCTGCTGCCTCGCGTTTGGAGACTTCTTCGAGTTGGCGACTACGACGAACCTGTGAGGCCATCCACTCAAACTTCGTGTGGCTGGTGTCCGGCTAGACACCCGAAAGTTCTTCTTCTCCAACAGAGTGGTTGCAGCTTGGAACGCCTTGCCTGAGGATGTTGTTATGTCAGGCTCGGTAGATACTTTTAAATGGATACTAGATCAGCATTGTAGCGCGCACCACAATAACGCCGGACTACGGCCACCTTGACAGCCAACGCGGACAATTAAGTGTTATAACGATGTTACTACCAACATTTAAGTAATATATGTTTATGTCATTTATTAAGCCCGGGCCACGTCGCACACCGCTGTTCGCATTCACGACGATGCCTGTAGACTAAACAATTTTACTTCTTTTCCCGTGTCTTAAGTGTGCCTCAACTGTCCGCTGTATTTTGATCAACAAAGCAAGTTAATGTGCCTCTAAACTCTGTTAACGCATGACATTCTGTGTTCATCTGTACAGTTTTTGCTATTCCCCTCGCATTTCTTTCATGTTACTTCCTTTCCATTTCCTCCATATATATCCTCTGCATGTAACCAATAGGGATTTCAAAGGTACACACCTACTTTCCCTGAAATATACTGATACTGATACTGATACTGATACTTGTATTTTGACCTGGGCATATTTACTGGTATTTACTGGTCTGCGAATTCCGTTTTGCGCGTTGCGATTCCAATTATAAATGTATACGCCTGTGTATTGCATACAATCAAATTCGGGTAAACCAAAAGAACATGAGTAATTCTGCCCATGATATTCAAACTAAAACTGAGAAGTTTGATTTCAAAGACTTTACTTCGGATTTGCACATTTTTTCCGATAAAATTAACCGGATTATTATGAACCACCCTCGTCAAATGCAGCCAGTGCTCCAGAACATTACTTCCTTGGCGTCATACTTTGGTGATGCCGATCATGTTTAACACGAACTACGATGTAAATTGTGTTTTGCCTGTTAATAGTTGTCATACGTTAACGCTCTGTTTGGAATGTTTGCCTGATACGCAGAAAGACGTTTATAATAACAGTAAAGTAATGTAGTGAACGCTGGTATGAGCAGACTATGTCGAAAATGATAAATACCTTGAAAGAAGAAACAGGCTTCGGATGGGGACCCCAACGATACACTGATAGTCAAAACCCAGAGCATCAGACCGTTTTAACCGGGAGATATGGCTGACGAGGGGATGGACTGTAACCCTCTTGAATGGAAGACTAGACGCGCATTGCCCACCTATATATGATGCAATCAAGCGTGGATGGTTTACGTGGATGCATTTTTTAAAGAAGTAGGTCGTTGTTCACAGGCCAGTGAATACTGGTATGTCTGTTCAGAAATCTGACCATCAATAAGCAAGCTAAATTGGACTACAAATGTTTTCAGCTCAGAAGAGAATTGGTGGTGACGTTCTTCTCGACGGCAACTGCTTGAAAATACGAAGTGTGTGAGAACAGAGACTGAAAGAGCAGAGAAACTGACACTGATGTCCTGGCTGCACATTCTTAATTTCGCGCCGGTCCAAATGGCCTAGTCCCTCAGCCGACATATAAGGACATGCCCAAAATGACGAGAATTATTTGTTTAATGTTTTATTTAAAATAGCACCCTTCAGATACTATTCCACTAGAAAATACCCTCCATTAGGTGGCACGCGCCGGTTTCGTTAAAATTGGTTGATTTATGATCGTTATGTTGGTAGGCGCGTTGTTATGATGAATTAGGCAGTGCTCCGATCGCCACAATTCCGATTCTTTCTTCTCACTGCCTCACGCGTTCGCCTTAGTTCTGGCAGATAATAATGCCGGTTCACTTTGATGCCATGGGGAACAAATCCAACGTCGACGACTAATCTAAGGTCGGAAAACAAAGAAGGATGTAGAGAAAACATAATTTGATGCTGCTGAACTGTTCGCTGATATTTGGCATTGCAAAATCACCGAGGGCGTTACGGAGGAGATTAATTAAACGATCATTAGTAAACGTATCTATCTGGGCTGGACAACCCCACCTACACACTCACCTGTAGAATATAATTTCCGTTGCTTTCTGGGTATCCCCTCGAATAATTGCGTGCAAGATATAAGCTATCCTTAAATCGACAGAAGCCAGGGAAGGCATTTTGACTGGTATGGCAGTATTATATATGACATCAGAATTTGACCGCGTTTGCTAGAATCAGATATTTGCTTATTGACGTACACTCCGATTAACGGCTGCCTCTGAATATTTGATGATGTAAGCGGTTTGCTTTCAGCCTTTTAGTCTCATGTAACCTTCTTGCTATTTTTCGCAATTCTGGTCAATATGCGAAAAGTAAAATACGAATCCACTTTGAAAACTAGCATTTTTAATCAAAATTTCAACTCTCCATTGTGTTCGAATGAGGTCCTTAGGGTATTTAAAGTTTAAAGTGTGGCAATGACTCGAATTTTATTTTAAAACCAATATGTTGTATTTAGCATATTATAACTGACGATAACGAGGTTACATCGGCACATACTGCCCAATCTCAGATAGAAGCCTAAATCGGATAGTTGGAAATATTCTGAATTTCATGCGATCACTGAAACGTAATGATTTGTGCGGTAGAACACTTATTACGGCATCCGCAATGGAAATTGATAATTCAAGCATTGCACAATTTCGTTCGAGTCTGCGTGGACAATGTAAAACCGCTTCTACTTAAAATAATTTCTTTCAAAATCCTGCCTATTTAACTTCAAAAGTCAATGAATGCGAACGTTCCATTCGTATATAAAAATGAGAAAAAACTGTCTAATCTCAGTGTTTCGTATAATTTCGGTGACATTTTCACAGCACCGGATCCAGAATCCTCGACAAAGTCCCCGTCCAACATGGTAAATGCCAAAGTCCAAAAACAGTTCGCAACGCCCAGAAAACTCTTCGATTGGATGGAGCCAGGTCAAGTAGTGTTATTGAGGCAATTACCGAATCTACAGACCATCATTCACTAACTTTCGTGTCGGCGACCTCCTCCAAGTCAGTCAAAGCTGGCGTCGTTCATAAAAACCCCGATAGAGAATGTGTTCCGTCACCGCCATTTAATACCCTTAAAGTACCACACCGACCAGAGAGAAATACATCAACAAAATATACAAACGATATCGCCAGAGACCAATGTTTCTTTATACAGGGGCTCGCTGTGTCAAATGCGAACCCCCCTAAAGAGCGGGTTTCGAAAGATATAAGGTTTTGCCAAGGCTTGCTCAACAATATGCTGGAACTCAGTGAGGCAATTAAAAGCAAAGAGCCGAGTCCCAGGAAGTAGTCTTGAAGAAGGAGACACGATCGCCGGGACAAGAGCTTTATTAGCCTGACGTTTCGGATTCCTACTCGAATCCATCATCAGAGACAAAAGAGCAGAAACTGGTGGCTGTTGCACAAGGGGCTGCGGTATTTATAGGATGCAGCAGCCATGCTACCGCATGCCTATGAACGTTCACGGCTTCCCCCTTCATCCGGGATTGTCACACTTGGGGTGATCATTGCTTGATGGCCGACAGTCGAGTCGATAATTGCCGCAATTTCATCACGTGCGTTGGATGTTGGCGTGATGATTGCTCGAGGATCTGATGCGTTGACCCGGGTGTTGGGGAGAGTGTTCACCAGTGCGCTCCCCGCGTGGCCAATTACTCCGCCTAGACGAAGTCTCAGCACGCTGTATTGAATGGGAAGATCGTTGCACTTGTTGATGGACTGGGGGCCAGTAAACCATGATTCCAGTAGCTCTCGGCTCACTCGGTTGTCACCTCTTGCGAGAATTTCGGCCTCATCGAATTTAAATGTGTGGCCGGGTCTCGTCGAATGAGCCGCAACTTGAGAGCTGGCGTCATTTCTGCGCACCGCTGCCGCGTGTTCGACCATTCTCGTTCGGAGCTGTCTTCCGGTTTCTCCGACGTAGTTGCTTTGTCCGCAACTGCACCAGATCCGATAAACGACTCCAGACGTTTCTAGCCGTGGCAGTGGGTCTTTCGGTTTCATGATCAGACGCCTGATGGTTGCCTCCGGTCTGTGTGCCACTCCAACCCCAAGTGGTGCGAGAAGGCGGCCGACAGCTTCCGAAACGTTCTTGACATACGGTAGTGCCCGCCAAGACTTGGTGTCCGTGCGGTTAGGCCTTTCGTCCCTTTTGCGTATGCACCGGTCGACGAAGTTGCGCGGGTAGCCATTGGCTTTGAAGACCCGTCGGAGGTATTGTAGTTCAGCAATTTTGTCTTCCGGCTCACTGCAGTGCGTTTCGACACGCCGATAGAGCGTCCTTACACAACTGCGTTTGTGGCTGATTGGGTGGTTACTGTTGAAGTTCAGTACTTGCATCGTATTTGTCGCTTTCCTGAACACTTTGGTCTTTAATCCACCACAATCCTTGCGACATACGAGGACATCCAGGAAGGCCAGCTGGCTGTTCTCTTCCTCCTCCATCGTAAATTGAATGTCCGGGAAGACGGCGTTGAGATGTTCTTGGAATGTCAACACCTGATCCCGTTCGATGACGACGAAGGTATCATCCACATACCGGGCCCAGAATTTCGGTCTGTGGTGTTGGAAGACCAGCGACTCTAACCGTTGCAGGACCGCCTCAGCGATGAATCCCGAAATCGGCGAACCCATTGGTGTGCCCTTCACCTGTTCGTAGATTGTCCCGTCGAACGTGAAGTACGTCCTGAGACAGAGCTTCAGGAGCTGAAGGATTTGGGCGTGTCCAAGACGGTTCTCCGTTTCATCGTATTTGCTTTGTAGTAGCAGTTCAATTGTCTCGATCGCCAGATCCTGGGAAATAGAAGTAAAAAGGGATGTAACATCAAAAGATACCATGACCTCATTTGGATGGATGCTTACCCCTTTGAGTTTCTCCAGGAATTGTGCTGACGAAGAGACCGTGGTGTCTGACTCAGCGGTCAGGAACTTGAGACGCCGGAACAGCCACTTCGCCAGTCCGTACGTTGGAGTCCCTTTGAGCGACACGATGGGTCGGAGAGGAGCG